TAGGGGCCGAAATAACTACCAATATTACTTTGGTGGTTCCTTACTTAGTATCATGGGCCCCAAAACCCTATTCAAATTATTAAGGCCCCAGTCCTTAGGGCCTTAGGGCTATCGGGCTTTATACAAGGTCTGATAAACGCTTCCAAGTTTAGGGTTTCCCGTGGTATCAAACGCCAAAGCTCTGAATCCAGAGGCTTCGACCCTAAGCCCTAAACCCTAAACCCTAAACCCTAAACCCTAAACCCTAAACCCTAAACCCTAAACCCTAAACCTTAAGCCCAATTCTCTGAATCCCCAGAACTAAGAGCGGTTTAGGGTTTAGGGTTTAGGGTTTAGGGTTTAGGGTCCAAAAGGCTAGAACCTTAAACCTTGAGCCTCACCAGGACCCTCCCAGCTCCGCTATAACAGAACCCTTATGGTCCTTAAACGTGTGCATTTAGGTATATTAGAAGGTAATTGGGGAGTCTAAACCCTAAGCTTTAAGCTTAAACCCTAAACCCTAAACCCTAAACCCTAAACCCTAAACCCTAAACCCTAAACCCTAAACCCTAAACCCTAAACCTAAAAACCCGAAATCCGAAATCCCAAGCTCTGAATCCCCAGAGACTCGAGTATTCCTTAACTAAGGAATATTCCTCCAATTATAGTAGGATCCCTAACATGATTCCTAAACCCTAAACCCTAAACCCTAAACCCTAAACGCTACACCCTTAACGGGTATTCCTTAGATTATAGTAGGATCCTTAATATGATTTAAAGTATATAAACCCTAAACCCTAAACCTTAATTAGGGGATATTGCAGTCTCTGGGTCCCTAGAACTACGATCTAAGGGCTTGAGGAGGGACCCTTAAAAGGGACCCTTGTAGGTTATTGGGGTTGATATGGAGACTACCTGGCCATATAAGGGGTATATAAGGACTATACAATGGTCATTCAAGGTAATGGGATTAAGGGTCCCTATTAGGGGTCCCTCCTAAAGTCCTTAGATACGAGGCTTCGCAGTGATCCTGACGCAGACGGTCAGCGACTACTGCCGGGATCAGCAGGTGAAGGCACATTGGCCCAGAATTCCGGGAGGATCCAAAAAGTAGAACCCTTAAAGGGGGTTTAGGGTTTAGGGTTTAGGGCTTAGGAGGGTTTAGGGTTTAGGGTTTAGGGTTTAGGGTTTAGGCTTAGGAGGGTTCAGGGTTTAGGGTTTAGGATCCAAAAAGTAGAACCCTTAAGGGGGTTCCCATGAAGTACCCTTGAGTAGTTGGGGTCCCAGATTAGGGGATCTACTTTTTGGATCCTCCCGGGGCTCTGGGGGTGGCATGTTTGAGGGGTTTATGGTTGAGGGTTGAGGGTGTAGGGTTTAAGGTTTAGGGTGTAGGGTTGAGGGTTTTAGGTTTATGAGGGTTTAGGGTGGAGGTTTAAGGTTTTCGGGTTTATGACGGTTTGGGGGTTGGGGGTTTAGGATTGCGGTCGAGGCTGGTTTAGGTTTCGGATGGTGGGGCTTAATGTACTGGCCTTAATGATTAGAATAGGGTTTTGGGGGTTCCTGAATATAAGTGTAGTATAATATACCCCAAAACCCTATTCTAATTGTTTAGGTCCCAATATTACGACTTCTGGACCATCTTTCACTCCCTCTCTCTTTTGTTCTGGACGAGATCTTCGCTAAGGGGGCTTCTCAGTAGTAGAGTATTTAACCTTTTAAGGGGTACGTACTATAATCCCAAAAAGGTTAAGCTTTAGTAAGATTTAAGTTTATGGTTCAAGTGCCAATGGGGTTTCATAGTACAAGGGTTGGCCTAGACTCCCAACCACCTTTTAATATACTTTAAATATCCATGGCACTAGTTTGGACCATAAGGGCTCTATTAATAGAGGGCACTGGGGGGTCCTGGTTTGGACCCTACTTGTGAAGGTCCTTTGGCCAACAAGGTTCTGGGATCAAGGTTCAGGGTTTGGGGAATGCAGGGTTCCTGCGTTCGGGGTTTAAGCGCCAGACTTAAGCGCCAGTCCCAGAACCTGTGCAGCCGAACCTGAAATAACCTAGTAGTAGACTACCCTAAGGGTCCAAAGGGCCCAAGAATGAGGTACTGGGTTTATGACTAGTAATGTATGGGAGAGTATACCCGAAGGCCTATAAACCCTAAACCCCTAAAGCCTAAACCTTTAACCTTTTTAGCAGCCCGACTGGCCTCGGAGGTATGAACGCAAGCCGCAGGTACCTTTGTTAGATGTTTTGATCTCTTTAAGGTTTAGGGTTTGGGGAATACTTCTTTGATACTTATTCCTTGGACAATCTGCGATCATTGCTATCTTGCGGCTTCACCAATGTTGTTCCTTCATTGACATCCCGACCCAACCTCCAAAAAGGTCCCACGTCCGACACCTCCTTGAATCCGTAATAGCATTAGGGACCCAAGAAGGACATAAGCATAAGCATTTTATAGGGATATCCCTACCTTATTGGGCTTCGTTATAAGGGTGTTTATATGAGATATCCCTGTCCTAAATTTTGCTTATGTGCTTTCTTGGGGCCTTACGCCGTCCGCTGGGGACGCAGCTTATCTCACGTCGCGCTTTTAGCTTTTTGGGGTGCTATAATCCCTAAACCCTAAACCCTGAGGCCCTACACCCCAAGCGGTTTAGTGTTTAGGGTACTTTAACCCCTTTAACATAATACGAAAAGGTTAACCTTAAGGTTTTCCAAAATACTGGACAAGCAAAACAGCTTTCCACCTGGACCTGATAACTCCAAAGCCAACGGGTCAACTCCTCTGCCTAACCTTAAACCCGAAACCCGAGAACCTACCCTAAACCCTAAACCCTAAACCCTAAACCCTAAACCCTAAACCCTAAACCCTAAACCCTAAACCCTAAACCCTAACCTTAAACCCGAAACCCGAAAACCTTAAAAGCCAACACCCGGCCTTGAACTCCCACCGGCAAGACCCATCAACACAGAAAGGACAAGGAGAGCGTTTAGGGTTTAGGGTTTAGGGCTTAGGGCTTAGGGCTTTAGGGTGTGCAGACAACAAACACCGTAATGCAAGCACAAAAGGCCCCGTAAGCCCTAAGCCCTAAACCCTAAACACCCCAAGCCCTAAAGCCTAAACCCCTAATACCTGAAAATCTAACCCCCCCCCAAGCCCTAAACCCTAAACCCCTAATACCTTAAACCCTAAACCCCCCAAGCCCTAAACCCTAAACCCCTAATACCTTAAACCCTAAGCACCCACGCCGTAAACCCTAAACCCCTAATACCCTAAACCCTAAACACCCCAAGCTCTAAACCCTAAACCCCTAATACCTTAAACCCTAAACCCCCCAAGCCCTAAAGCCTAAACCCCTAATACCTCAAACTCTAAGCCCCCCCCAAGCCCTAAACCCTAAACCCCTGATACCTTAAACCCTAAACAGCCCAAGCCCTAAACCCTAGACCCCGTGATACCTTAAACCCTAAACAGCCCAAGCCCTAAACCCCAAACCCCTAATACCTCAAACGCTAACCCCCCCAAGCCCTAAACCCTAAACCCCTAATACCTTAAACCCTCAACCCTAAGCCAGAGGCCACCGGGGATCCCAATGCTCTGCCATTCTGCATCGACCCCGCTCTCCTTCAATTCTGGCCGGGTGTGCTGGAGCCTTGCACCGGGCAGAGGGTTGTAGGGCTCTTTCAGGGTTTCTGTTTTTTTTTTAGGGTTTATAGGGTTTTTTTGGAGTTTCTAGGGATCTTTGAGGGCTTCGAGGGTTCTTTTTGAGTTTAGAGTTTTTTTTTTAGGGTGCTATCTTCAAGGTTATCAAAAAGATCCAGGCCAGCAGTAGAGTAGGTAACCTCTGGCTTTTTTTTGTAGGGTTTAGGGTGTAGGGTGGACAGACAATATACAGATCCGATAGAGCCCCGAAGTTCAACTTTTGGTTCCCAGAAACACTGGACCAATAAATGATAGCAACTGTATTTATGTATGTATGTATGTATGTATGTATGTATGTATGTATGTAGGTATGTAGGTATGTAGGTATGTAGGTATGTAGGTATGTATTAGTATGTGTATATATAATATTATAAAAGTTCATGAGGAAGAAATCTGGTCGGGGTGAGGTGTGTGGCTCTTACTTGAAGGCTCAACAGACTTAGTAAGTAATGGTATAAGTAAGGGGTATGATCTGGATAATGCCGGGGCCTGAATATTTGTTAAAACTATAGTAGAAGGGCCCCAAAACCCTATTCTACCTATTCAGGCCCCTTTTTGTATTATTCTGTGTGTGTGCCTTGTAATCAAAGAAAAAGCCCTACATGGTTAAAAAGATATGGCTCCGTTCACCCTAAACCCTAAACCCTAAACCCTAAACCCTAAATTCGGCTCTCGGCATCTGCAACCCCGCAGAACAGATCCGGACATGTCGAGCTGGCCACAGTAAATCTGGTTTAGGAACGTAGGGTTTACTAGGGGAATATAGGGGCCTATTTAGGGTTTAGGGTTTAGGGTTTAGGGCCTGAATAATTATCAATATTGCTTTGGGGGTTCCCTGTTATAATTATAGTATAATGGGCCCCAAAACCCGATTCTTATTATTAAGGCCCCTATATTAAGTGTTTCGTAGAGAGTTACGAAACCCGGAACCCTCAAAGCCTCAAAACCCCGTAGCCCCAATGCAACCTCGAAACCTTCAAGCCCGTGTAGTCTTTGAGCCTAATATAGCGGCCTCAATAATTAGGATAGGGTTTGGGGGCCCATACTACTATAAATATAATACGGAGCCCCCAAAATAGTATAGGTAATTATTAAGGCCCCTACATTAAGCCGACCTGCAGGAGAGTATGCTTACACTCTTCCTGTCCATCTCTGGCGGAATCGACTGGAAGCTTGGCCTCCAACCCGTCAAAGGATCACAGTTCCTTTGGCACGCCGTCTTGTAGGGCTTTTAGCCGCTCAGGGGTTGAACTTCCATCATTAAAATACCCATTGTAAACGCGATCTACCTGCAAGGTTTATGATCCAATTTCCATGTGGGGGTTCACATTATCAGGGTGCAGGGCCCCGAATGGTAAGGATCTTTTTGGCCCCTAACCCTACGCCTCCAAGTGCCAAACTATCATACACTCTGCTACAGACGAACCTTCAAAACTGCGATCCTAAACCCAGGTATGAAACTATTTAGTCTATATCCCCTGTCGAGCCCTTCAACAGCCCCCAAAGGGAAACTAAACCCCCAAACCTTAAACCCCAAACCCGAAACCCTAAACTAAACCCCTAAACCTAAACCCTGAACCCCAAAATCAGGGTTTAGGGTTCACCTTATCCCGAGATGACCTACCGTTCTACCCAGACCCCCGGGAGGTTTCATATTTTCAGGGTCTAGAGCTCATGATACATGGAGCACCCCTGATCGAAACGTTTGTGAAGAAGCCCTAGGAGGGAGCACGAAATTTCAGAAGTCCCAAGATAAACACGCAGCACAAGGCAGCAAGCGATGGAACCTCTGCGCGAGGCCGATGCCGGCGTCAGTCGAGTCAGGGATCTACATGAGACCTTGATTAGCGAGTAGCTGCTGCCGCTTTTGCTTTTGTTGTTCTGCTGCGGTGGTAGTAGTGGTGGTGATGGTGGTCGTCGTAGTAGTACTAGTAGTAGTAGTAGTAGTAGTAGTAGTAGTAGTAGTGGTAGTAGTAGTAGTAGCAGCAGCAGCTGCTGCACCACATCGTTGTTGCTTGTTGTTTTTGTGTATCCTCCCTACTGTAAACTCGGAAAGCGCCGCCACCGACGGCTTCCCTGTGCCCCCGTTTCGACAACCACCTTCACACGGCAGTCCCAGAATCATGGCGCACACTCCAACGTTCAATGCCAAATTCTTCGTCGACCCCTTCAAAGTCCCACCACAGCTTGTTTTTGTCGCCAGAGAGCCCAATACCCCTTAATTAAGGAATATACCTTAAAATATAATATTGAGGCTCCTATAATTTAAGGCACATTCCTCATTTAAGGGATATCGGGCTCTCTGGGTCTTTCCGCAAAATCGTGCTTCGGGTTTAGAAGGGCGTGTTTCGATAAACCGTGCGGGTCGACTCTGGCGAGGTTTCCCCAGCGGCGGTCATTATCATGATCCTGTTCATCGTTGTGACGGCACCCTGGCACCGAAGGTACCCCCACTTGAACCCTAAACGCCTAAACCCTAAAAGGCCCCTAAACCCCCAAACCCCCAAACCCTGAACCAGCAGACTCGGGAGTCCTTATTTGGAGAAACATAGATCTGAGCAAGCCCTTGTAAGTGCTGGAGGGATGCAGTTTAGCGGTGTATGTATAGTGGACTAAATAATTACTACTAAGTTTGGGTTTTCGGGTTTAGAGTTTGGGTTTGCAGGGTTTTCAGTTTAGGTTTTAGGTTTTAGGGTTTTAGGGTTAGGGTTGTGGGGTTTTGGGGTAAAGTTTAGGGGTTTAGGGTATATTCAGGGTTTAGGGTTTAGGGTATGTCTAGGGTTTGGGGTTTTAGGGTTTAGGGTTTAGGGCTTTAGGGTTTAGGGTTTGGGGTTTAGGGTCTAGGGTTTTTAGGGTTGAGGTTTTTAGGGTTTAGGGTCTAGGGATTATTAGGGTTTAGGGTTGGTTTAGGGCAAGGTGCGCCTTTGGTGTTTTCAGGATTTTCGGTTTTAGGTGCTTTAGTTGCTGGTCTTGGATGTGGCATGTTTAGGTTTGCCTTTCCTCACTCGCCAAAGGTGATTGAGGCTTTCTTTCGGGCGTCTCCAGTGCTTACTGGCTTTGAAGGTCTAGCGGTTCATGGGTAGTCAGAGGTGGGCTTGTAAGTCGTAGATCATAAGAAGCACAACTTGCGTATGGCTGACCGTTATTCTTCAAGTAGACCACAGTACGATGGAGCCCAATTCAGTGCCCTGTTGCAAGAAGTGATTGGTTTGCGTGTTTCAGGATCTCCTTTAAACCCTAAACCATAAACCCTAAACCCCTAAACCCTAAACCCCAAAGACCCTAAACCCGAAACCCTAAACCCTAAAACCCTAAACCCTAAAACCCTAAACCCTAAAACCAGCCAAACGGATAGGGTTCCGGACCGGCTCGAGGTGTCAATGCCGAAGAACTCTACACCGTTCGCAGGCCGCAAACCCGAAGCCGCCAACTCCTAAACTCACTGTTTAGGGCTTTGGGGTTTAGGGGTTTAGGGTTTAGGGTTTAGAACTTCCTGTAAACCCCTAAACCCTAAACCCCGAAACCCGGAAATCCCCTAAAACCGTAAACCCTAAAGAACCCTCCCCAAGCTGCGCCTGGGAACCTGCCTCTGCTCAGGTCTTTGCGGTGTTGAGCCTTGGATGTCCGACTTGCCTCAACCCGACTTCAGAGGAACTTCGGTTTTGGGGTTTAGGGTTTGGAGCTTAGTGCTTTGGAGTTCAGGGTTTAGGGTTTAGGGTGTAGGGTTTAGGGTGTAGTTTTTAGGGTTTAGGGATTAGGGTTCAGGGTTCAGGGTTTAGGTTTGGGGTTTAACTAGGGTTTAGAGTTCAAGGTTGGAGGCTCCTACCCTAGCCGGTGTTTAGGGTACCCACTTTTCTACATAACATCCTATCTAAAGAACTAGGTAATTTAAACGCTTCGCGTCGTCCGCCTCGGCCCGGCCGCAAACAAAGAGGGCCAACGAACTGCTGGAAGGCGCCATTGGCGGAGTGGACGAGGACCGGGAA